AAACATCTCTCTGTTGCTTCAGAGGCCATAACAGACTTTGTTGATTTACCAACAGTTGATTTAAAAAATCTAATCAATTTCAGTCCAACTCTCTCAATAACCTTGGCCAAAACATAAACAGTTCAACATAAAGTGCCAGTTGCACCAACAACGTAATAAATAGTTCAACATAAAGTGTACCATTTAAAATAAATAAAAAAGTGCCAGTGATTGACCTCAATCCCTCCTATTCTTCCAATATCCTGATGAAAAATAAAATCTCTCTGTTGCATAGGCCACTGTTTGATCAACGCGAATTGGGTGTGGGTCCTTGTACTCCGAGTCGGGCTAACGTCCACGCTAGCTTCCACGCTAGCTGCTATATGTTTTGCATTGAGGTGATACTTGAGGCTTGATGTGCTGCGGTGATATGCGAATTCCTTTTTGCATAATTTGCAAACAACCGTGCTCTTATCGACGCTTCCATGCGTCCGTTTTTTAAAACAAAATTTCCCATCCACGGGGCCAACCAAAGCGGTCTCATCAGCTTCTTCGTTCATGTTTGACTATTGTTCACTGTGGTTTGTTGTTGTCTGAAGTCATGAACGTTAGTTGGTGCTCCAGTATAATCGGTACCCCTGAAACTCATCCAGTGAGAAACGTTCCGCGGTACAAAAATAAGTGCGATTAAAATGCGTTAATTTTTGTGTAATTAATTAATCTTAATTAACGCGTTAAAGTCCCGGCCCTAGTTTTAACATAAAAGTATTTTTTAAATGAGATTTACCTGGCACATATTGCAGACTACCTTTATGCAGAGTTTTGTTTTCACATGTTGTTAAAGAAGGTTGTATTACCTGAGAGCAGCATGTAGTCCTGATAAATATCAGCAGCAGGAACTCTGGGCTGACACTGTTTGACTGCTTCTGATATGGCCCTGTTTTAGGAAGAAAGAGGGGATAGGAAAATATATTTTAATATTTAAAAAAATTGCCATGATTTTGTAATCACTTTAAGAAGAAAAAATGACATAATTACCTGATGTGCCCTGGTGTAGTCCCACAACAGCCTCCCACTATATTCACCAGGCCATCCATAGCAAATTCCTGCACACACAGATATAATACATATGAATATTTAGTCAGCTGCAACAATGAGTCAGCAAGGATCAGCTATACTTTCTTAGAATATAGTATTGTATTTTGAATTACTAAATTTTTTTTTAAATAGGATGGTTTTGAGACTACTGTCTGTTTTTGAGAGAGAACTGGTATTAAAAGAAATGCTATAGCACAAGTGTGTACACATGCAAACTTGAGAATATTGAAATAAAACGTATATTGTTTTGTATCGAAATCGGACTTTTATCAAGGCGCTGCCACCATCTTGTGTTGTCAAAGTGATTCATCTGTAAAGATCGCTCTCTGTATAGGTTCATGGAGTGGATGTTGCATGTTGAAGAAGTCTGACACTATAGTGAGCCATCAGCAAACCTAAGACATAATGCGATATTTAACCTGAAGGATGCATGTACGTGCCAAAACGAGTATTCAATAATGATGAATACTTACTTATCACATTAATGATATTAATGTATGTACATAATATCATTTTGTAAATAGTATTCTTGAAGAAGATTACTGTAACGTCTTTTAAATGTTGATACATAGATCAAATGACAGATCAATGTGCTATATAATGTACGTCAGAATCAGAATCTCTTTATTAGTCCCACAGAGGGGACATGTACATTGCTACAGCAGAAAAGAGCAAAGACAGCTTAATGTTACCTAAAGCGTCCATACAAAAGAATTAAAGATAAAAGAAGAAATAAATTATAATAGAATTAAACACCATTCCTATAAATAAATGATGGAATAGAACCTTTAAATTGGAGGATGTTACTGTCGGGGTTTCGTCGTACTCTCCAAATGTGTTGGGAAGACCTGACAGAAAACAGAAGGCAGAGTTCATGGCATCATTACATCATCTCGGGTGCTCTGAGACATTTAGCAAGGTCAGTGTGTGCTACGGCTGAATCATTCACAGTGTGTGTACAAACATTCATATAACCAGGGGTGCACATAACTGGTACGCAGGTACGCATGCGCGGCAACAATCTGAAATGCGTATCGGTGTCAGTACACTTTATTTCTTTTTTTCTTTTTTATATAAATGTTTTATTGAACATTTTTAAAACATACAAAAGCTCGGTGAGGATATCATCAACTTATCAACATAAGTGCAAGACATTCATTCACAATAAGACAAAAAAACATAAATAATACATCCAATAAGAGCCAGGGGGAGAGAAAAAAGCATAAAGGCACAAAACATAAGGCACAAAAACATTTAAGAGGCATTAAGCTTACTTAAAATAATAACCATTTGGAAATGTCATTGCAAATCTTTATAGACATGTTACAAGATTGTATTTTCCTAAGGGACAGAAAAAAGGACTTGAACTCATTTATGAAACAGGGAAAGGAGGGCTTGCCTCCTCTCCATTTACTACAATGTAAATGGTATTTACCCAAAATAATAATTATATTTACCAAATCAGATATGGGAGAGTCCAAATTATCAATATAATATAAAATGTGATATATTTTGAAGGCCGGAATATTTGTTAATTTAAGTAACAACCAATCTCTCACATTCGACCAAAACAATTCAGAAAAAGGGCATGAGAAAAATAAATGTTCCAACGATTCATCAGATAAATTACAAAAGGAACATGGTTCCACTTCAAAATTAAATCTTGAATTTAAAAAAGTAGAAACCGGGTAGATTTTATGAACAATTTTAAAATGAGTTTCTTTTGCTTTAGGAGAAATAGGCCATTTTATAAAATAAGATAGAGCTTTTTCCATTACAGATAAAGTGTCTAAATCAGTCCCTTGTGGAAATAAGCCTCTGTTGAAATTGTGAAAAATGTGGGATTTCAGAGAAGCATTAATAGATTTGTTATTCTTAAGAGTATCGCCAATACATTCTAAATTAGGTAAAACTGATACAACATTTGAGTACAGTAAAGTATTATGAATCATTTCAATAAGTGGTACAGGAATTGCTTTACAGATTTTGTTATAATCTTTAGCAGTACACTTTATATTGTATTTCGTTGAAAAAGCCAAAACATCTAGCAGTTTACCATTGCAATCTAGTAAATCATTAACAAACAAAATACCCCTCTCATGCCAATCACTCCTAAACAAGGATTTTCTGTTTATAATAATCACTCTATTGTTCCATAAAGTAGATCCATGAGGAGAAAAATTGTGGGTAAATATCATTTTCCAATAATGAAGTATCTGCTTATGAAAATTTGACAATTTGGTCGGAATCTTATTAACCTCAAAATCACATTTTAAAAGAAAATCAAACCCTCCTAGACGTTTAAATATGGCCTTTGGAATATGGAACCACATGGATTCTGGCTGGGACAAAAAAGCTTTCAACCATTTTATTTTAATTGTTCCAATCATCGATTCAAAGTCTAAAGCTTTAATTCCGCCTTTATCATATTCTTTAACAAGCTGTGACTTTTTAATGTAGTGAGTTTTATTTCTCCACAAGAATTGGAAAATAATTGAGTTGGCTTTTTTAATATTAGCCGAAGAGACAAAACATGAGTGGCATGGATAAATAAGTTTAGATATACCTTCTGCTTTAGTAAGAAGAACTCTGCCAAAAATAGTAAGATCTCTAGTTAACCAACGACTGAGAGATTTCTTCATATCTGTGATACGGTTACAAATATTTGGATAAGATCTTCTCTCCTGATATAATTATTAGATAATGTTATTCCTAAATATTTCACTTCAGGTACCACTCTAATAGAGTCAATAATGGAATCATCACATGAATGGATAGGGAGTAATTCACATTTTGAAGATTATTCTTTAGGAAAAATGGATGTGTCATCCGCAAATTGAGTAATTTTAAATTCTTTGTCAAAGAGGGTAATGCCTAATATTTTGTGATTCTTTATAATAAGCGTTGTTAATACTTGGGTGGTCAGAATAAATAATTTTGGGGAAATAGGGCAACCCTGTCGAATACCACGTAAAACCTTAAACCTAGGGCTTTCCAGGGTTCAAAGATACAGAACTATAGATGTCCGAATAGAGCATCCTAATTATGTTGCAGAAATGTTCACCAAAACCCAGAAATGTCAGAGTTTCCATTAAAAAGGAATGTTCAACAGTATCAAAAGCCTTATAAAAATCCAGAAATAGTACGAGACCTTCAGTATCAATAAACTCCTGGTAATCGAGCATATCCAATATCAGTCTGGTATGGTTATGAATACTTCTGCCCTTTATAAAGGCTGATTGACATTCATCTACTAGTTGATTCAGACCTGAGTTTAACCTGTTAGCATAAACATGTGCTAACAGTTTGTAATCATTACATAGTAGGGTAATAGGTCTCCAATTATCCAACAAAAGATTATTTTTATTTGGTTTTGGAATTAAAGTAATAAGGCCATGTTTCATGGTTGGCGAAAGGTTTCCTGCTGAAATGCAATCTGTGAAAGCCTTATAAAGCATTTCTCGCACATCTGACCAAAAACATTTGTAAAACTCTATGGTTATACCGTCCAGCCCTGGTGATTTGCCACCAGACATTTGCAGTAATGCACTATCTAATTCTTCAATTTTTAGTCGATCGTCCATATACTGTTTAAAAGGATCATCTATTGTCTTTTTGAATTCTGTAATTTTACTAAAAAAGTTATCACAATTTTCTTTAGAAAACTTTGAGTTATATAAATTGCTATAAAAAAGTCTAATTTCTTCGTTTATCTGGTCTTGATTTTCAATAGTGACATCATTAACACTCAGTTTTTGGATTTTCTTTTTCACTTGTCTTTGCTTTTCAAGATTGAAGAAATAAGAAGTGTTTTTCTCTCCTTGCTCAATCCATCGGGCTCTCGAACGAATAAAAGCTCCCTTAGCTTTTTCCAAATACATATTGTCTAATTGAGTTTGTAAATTGTTCAGTTTAATTTGCTCATTCAATGATAACTCAGCTTTAAGGCATCAATTATTAATTTCACTTGTCATCTCTTGTTGTTTTTGTTTCTTTAATCTAGAGGAGTATTTACTGGAATTTATCGCAATCTGTCTCACACTAAATTTAAACCATTCCCATTTACTGAGAGATGACATATCCAAAGCCAGAGTTTCTTTTATCAGTTGTTTGATCTTTTTATAAAAATCTGCATTCTCCAAAAGACTATTATTGAATTTCCATATAGGTTTAAGATTGGGACCGAAGTTGCATAGTAAAAAGGACAAAGAGATGACACAGTGATCAGTCAGAGGTGATGCTGAAATGTCACACTTTGAGACATTATTAGTTAAACTAATAGAGATTAACCAATAATCGAGCCTAGAACACTGACCATTGTTAGAAGAGTTAAACCAGGTATATTGTGCCTTTGAGGGATTATTTATTCTCCAAACATCAGTTAAATTAAGTTTAGAGGCCAAGTGAATAATAGAATCATTAAAATTATGACAATGTCCCCTTAAAGGAAGACGATCTAACCACTCATCAGGAACTACATTAAAATCCCCTCCGATTATAATCTTATCAGTCATATAAAGTACTTTCCATTCCTCTAATTTTTGGCACAAGATTAAGAAAATTATTGTTTTTAATCTTTCTGTTATATCCATAACAGCACCACCGTATGTAATTAGTCCCATTAACAATCAGTCACAACCATTAGCCAATGACCGTTTGTATCACTCCTGTGGTCAATTATATTTCAGGTAACCTGTTAATATAAGATCATCACTCCAGCCGGAATGTGATGTTCCATGGGCTGAAAAAAAATGTTGTCTCCAACATTGTACTTTCCAGAACTTAGTGTCTGCTCTGGCAGAATGAGTTTCTTGCAGAATCAACACAATTTGCCTTTTGTTCTCTTTCAAAAAAAGCAAAATTGCCTATACGTTTACGATTGTTTTTTAGCCCTGCTTTAGGTATGAACGATAACATCGTGAAAGAGCAAGGATAGGAATCCTTACGAAATGGGCAAAGGACATGCTTATCGATGCGCAGGAGAGAGTACGTAGCGCGCTTGTCATCACAAGCGTCGCCACATCAGTATATTCTAGAAGCAATGCTGCAGCCTTTTTAGACGTTCCTACATATCATTGTGGATGGTAACCCTCAGTGCGCAACCTGAGCACAAGCTGCGAAATGTCGTTAGCGTTCATGTCTCCTACAGATGCTGCGTATACCGACTAGACGTCTGCTACCTGTCAGGTCGCTAAAACTGTAATGTACTGTCGAGATAGTGTCTCACACTGCAGTCAGCGAGCACCTCCCTCCCTGAGTAGTCACGCCGCAAATGGCTCTCACCCTCCGGCGTGAGGTGCCATTAGTGTTTGCTCTGCTGATTAAGCTTTTATGTTTGCCGCGATCGTACTTAAGAGGTTCTTCTTGTTCCTAGTATCAAGCGATTGTGCGTCCAGGATAGTCATTTAGCTTACCATTCAGAGTACATGTACGATCTCTTCCATTATCTCCTGATGCTGTTATGCTATTAGCGATTCGCAGGAGTGAGAACGTCTTCGAGCGGCCTCCTATTTTGTTAACGATCTGAGACGGTCGACTCACCAAATAGGACACCCGCTCTTCTTTGCAATGGGCCCGAAACCTGCTCCCTGATCTTCAGTTATTAACTCGGTGTATTTCACGTTATTCCGGGTCACTCTTTTATTGTCAATCAAGGGCGGAGCCTGCCATCTAGAAAAGCTTATCTTCTCCTTTACATGGCTTCTTGAACCGTGTGGCCACAGCTTGGAGCGATGACCTGAGGTCCTAGTGGAGAAATCCTCTTTTGTTACGACATGTGGCATCTCGCTTGATACTGACTCGAACTGCATGAAGGATTGACGCACGATTGTGTTGTTTTTCAAGTAGCTGCAATAACTT